CCCCCCCCCCCCCTAAAATTTTGGCTGGATCCACCCTTGCAAATGTCCAGGGATGTGGCTTATAACATTCAAAAAATGCTCTCTCTGACCTTGAAATTTTGATTGAGGGAAGGCAAACAACAAGTTGTGAGCTACATTGTTTAGATAATCAAGGGAATTAAGGGTGACATACAGTACTAGTACTGCATTCCCAGCTCACCTCTGGGGTCTCTGGTTCAATTCCTTGACTCTGCTTCACATGGTTGGAGTAGAATTTGTTAGGTCTTTTCCTAAATGCAAGTGTTTTGGATTCTCTTATTTTTCTCCTTCTACAAAACCTAGCATGCTAAATTCCAATTCCATCTGTGAGTTAGCTGTGCCCTGACTTAGATTGGCCAAGAGGTTTTTTTCAGGGTGTGATCTGTGAGTTAATCATGTTTTTTTCTATTCCAGGGTCAGTTCTTTGGCCTGTGTTATCAGAAGATATTATAAAAGATTGTCTTGCAAAATCTATTCCAAATACAAGTGCACAGGTATGCTAGCGAATGAATAGGCAGATTAAGATTCCCGTTTTTCCTTCTCGCAAACGGCAAACGTGACCACGTTTTCATCGTGTTTTCCCTACATTCCACTTTACCTTTTACAAAACTTCTCGACAAAGAGAAGTATTCTTTTGTTTATCTACTACTTGGAGATTTTTACGATTCGTTTTCACTAATTTTAAAGAATTTTTTAATGGTCAACTGATGTTTCACGTTTGCCGTAAACGAGAATCTTAAACTCTCTAATGAATGAATGAATGAATGTGCAAATGAATGACAGTGAATGAATGAAAAAATAAAAAGATGAAAAATGAATAATAAAAAAAATCACACTATTTCTAGATGGAATTTGCATCTTATCTTGCATCCAAGATAATCTTGAAAGGGAGCCGTAGGAGATGTTTTTTTTATACTTTATTTGTAGCTTCATATTCATTGACATATGATCTGTTATTTGCAGCTTGAAAAATACCAAGAAGTCATTGCAAATACCGAGGATTTTGAATCTAAGCTGAAATTATTAGGTATGAATGATGTGCATGTAATCAATGAGGTGTGTAATGGTTTAGTGCACGAAAAAAAGGGGAAAAAAAACTTTGTCCAATTCTGCCCTGCAATAACACAGTACAGCAAAAGATTGCATTTCATTAGCTGAGACCACAACTGCCAACATGCATTGATATGAACATCTAATGCATGCAATTCAGTTCTGTAAATCTTGATTCTGCTTTGCCAGTATACTGTAGTTGGCAATATTAGCTAGAACAGATGCACTGTGCAGGCTGCCGTTGCATGCTGCAGACATTTTCATATGTGTTACATTCAGCCCTGTGACTCTATATTCTACTTTGCCAGTATAGCAGAGCTTTCAGAATAAGCCAGCAGCCGCTGGAGCTCTGGTGATTTTATCCGAATTCAACTGCCGGCTACTTTTTCTTTTCTATAAGATACCTTCTGTTCCTTGTATCAGATCACAGTCAGCTACTTCAGACTTATGAGCACCTACTTCAAAACATGAAAGTCATAATAGTGTCCCTCTGGGGGAAAGGGGGAGGAAGAGGGGAAGGGAGAGGGGAGGGGTAGCTCCCACTCTCTCTCTCTTTCCCTCCCCCCTCCCCCCTCCCCCAAATCCCTAGAGCACCACTACACAGGCTAAAAAGCCATGGTAAATAGTTAATAATYTTAGTTACAACAGGTTGCCATTGCATGTTGTAAACATTGAAATGATGTTATTTGTTGCATGCCATGCTACATACTATAGTACATTGTATAATGTTGTTAGATGCCTCACTGCATTGCATATTGCAGACATTTAATCACGCAATGAAATATAGTGTGAGTGGCATTGTGAGATGCAACAGATGCATTGTGCAGTTATATTGTTGGTGCATTGTGTGTTTTATCTAATGCTTTTCATACTTTTACTATAACAGGATTTCTCCAAGAAACCCCTTCTGCTCTAACTAAGTATATCAAGGACATAAGTGTTCATGTTGGAAATAAAAAGGTTTGTTAGTTGTTAGTGATCACTTACGTTTGCATCCTGTTGATTTTTTAGTCCGACACACTTTTATTCATGTTTTGTGCCCAAGTGAAGATGCTGCTTGCAATATCACACATTTGGTTATACAAACTTTCCCAAAGTGCTGGTGATTCGGGACAAAAAGTGGACTTTTTTTATACCATTTAAAAACCCTTTTGGCTCGAATGTAATGTTTGACATCTTGGATCATGTGTGAGATGTAAAATATCTATGTATATTCTAATACTCAATACTGAATAAAAAAGTCTGTGTCTGTCTGTTATTGACATCAATGTTTCTAGCAATAAAGCCTCCCTGCTATAAGTAAAGACACAGTGCTCAAGGGAATGCCTTGTTGTATGAGATAAGAAAACGTCGTGCCCAAATGAATATATGAATATTTATATTTAATGACAGAGGAACTATGTGCAAGATGCTTGCTGATTCCTTACATGTACATACTGTACACCTATTTCAACAAAACGTCGGTAGGAGATCTAAAACGGGCGATCTGAGACCAACCGGATTTTTTGTACCTTTTTGGGACTAAAACTAGAAAAATCACACCCCTAACGCAAAGCTCATGCTTCATATTCCAATCTAGAGTTTTCGATAAATATTGTAAATGATACTGGAAAAAGGCAAAATAAATAAAAGTCTAGGGTGTGTCACCTCGATGTATTTCCTATTCATTTTATTTTTTCTTAGTGCCAAGAACGTCTAGTAGCAGCTCGTGACCTGATGAAAGATAACATCCATAACACAATAGCTATTGACAAGTATTCTGATACTGCAGTTCTACGTAGCCTGGGAGAAATAGAGAATGCTGTCAATGGCAAAAACGGGAAAAAGGTGAGTAAGCAGGGGGATTTCGTGGTAAATTTGTATCATCGCGTCATTTACAACCTCTATCTACACTTTCTTTCGTCCAGTTCGTGAGCTCCTGTTCTCATGAGGGAATAAAAAATTATTTGATAACAGTCGACAAAATGATATGATGATGTAGGAACAAATTTATGGGTCCTCAAATTGAAATTTCTCACATTTTTGCATATTTTATTCCAACAATTCCAAAAGCGTTCTCTGCTGATTGGCATTAAGCCTCCCGCTTTGGGCAATTGGGTAAAAAAATACTGCAAAATCTCAAACCCCTGCCTGTCAATAACTTATAAATTGTAATACATGTCTTCCCTAAAGTGAATCGCAAACGTTACACTTCTCCTATTCTTACCTATCTTCCCACCCCACACCATCCATACATTTTGAACTCCCTAACCTTTATTAAATATATGACATTTAATTATGACATTTAATTTGCTCCAATGTTTATACGTGTCTAGGCTGCTAATCGAGAATGAAATTCACAGGGAACTAAGCCCATTTATAATACCTGTCATCATCCCCCCCTCTCCCACGTTAAAAACCTAGAATCAGCCGTTAATGGGGACAAAACATTTGATGAATTTTTATAGGAATCTAGTCTGTCAATCAAGAATGAAGCCAACAACCAACTGAGCCCATTCACGTTTCAACTACCCTCATGTCGCATTAGTGAGAGCACCAAAGAGTTGATGAACCTTGCTTACAAAACTCTGTTAGAGGCTACTAAATCTACTCCACAGAGGTAAGACCTTCTGCTTGCATTACATGTCGAGGAAMAGTTGAGCCAGCAAGAAATATTGAAATACCATTGTCTTCCCGTCTGTCTTTCCTCCCAGCCTTTTATCCAACCTCCRTATAGGGCTTTTAAGTTGTGACGTATTTCCGGGTCCAATCACACAGAAGATCGCTAAAATCTTGCCGCAACTTATTCGCAGGATTTATTCTCTACCTTCAACGATTAGATGTATGAACAGAAAAGCCCGCTATGAAGAAAAAAATCAGAAAAATGTCGGCGGGAGTAAGTTTTAATACTCCATTTTACAGTTCCGTTCCAAGCCGARGTTGGAGTTGCCGCGCATGATAAAAAGTATAGTTTTGCTATGCGCGGAAACTGCAGCCTCGGCTAGGAACTATTATTCGTGGTCACTCGAACGCAACTGTAAAAGGGAGTATTTGGACCCGGAAGTCACTTTTCGTTCGAGTAACATCACACTTAACAGCTTTTTAGGGGTTTTGCATCATCACGTGCCCACACACATAATACAGCTTGGGCTGCCTGTGGTTAGATGACAGGCCAACAGAATCCCTTTGCTCTTGGGATTTGAATTCTTTCTTATGTGGAATTTGCATGGATCATGAAATGTCCTTTTATGATCCATGGTGATTCCTATTCAGTTGAATGAATGTCGAATGAATTTCAATGAAAAAAATGTATTTTTTCCTTTCCTTCTTCTTTTCATTCTATTCCCATTTATCTTTCTTTGTGTCTCATTCACTCCCTCAAACGTTCATAGAGCGGTTTTGTTACGAGTGGTTGAAAACTATGGAACTAAAATAAAGCACATAAGCGGTACGACAATGGACTTGATGCCGTAACATTGAAATGGCTTTTCTATTGAATGGCAGACATGACAGAAGGAGGGAACAATTGTTTGTTCGGCATAAGAAAAAAAAACAACGTTTGTTTAACCACTCATAACCTCGAAATATTGATTTAATAACAAGTTGTTTGATTTGTAAGGTCAAAGTATCTCGACTGAAACGTCTAGAAAGAATACTTTACAAATCAGAGAAAACTTCATCCTAAAGTGCTTGAATGCGAAGCCACGTGGGGAAAATCCATGGTTCCAGTCATTATGGTTGCCGCGTGAGAAAGGTCTATTAATTCACTAAGTGTAATGCGTTTGTCTTGTTTTAGTGCCATCCAGCTCTTCTACACTGTCCGTAATATGTTCGAGTTATTTTGTAATGTTGTCCCAACATACCACAAAGAAAGCCTGGTAGGTTACAATACTAATAATAGCAATCCTTAGTACTACGTACTTGCTAGATACCGCTAACTTTCTAACTTTCGACAGTCAGCAAAGCGTCATATCGAAGTTTTCCAGTGCTTTAAGAGCTGCCATATTGAATTTCATTGATCCTGAGTATTTCTCCGTATTTGCTGGCGCGTTTCTGGGCCTGATCCCTAGCGGTTAGCGGTAAACCTGATGCTAAAGGTCTTTAATAATACCACACCTCCATACTTCCAGTTGAATAAATATAATTTCAATCCCAATTTATTAGCCGAAAAAAACCCAGAGATTCCTTGTTCCAGTGCATGTTACGTCATCGCCGCCATATTGGTGGTATTTGACAAAAGATTCCTCAGCTGTGTTAATACCACCAACATGGCCGCCATGTCTTTGTCATTTGACTCTCTTGAGAAAGGCTGCACGTTACGTCATCGCCGCCATATTGGTGGTATTTGACAAAAGATTCCTTCATAGCTGTGTTAATACCAACAACATAGTTGCCCTGTCTTTGTCATTAAACTCTATCAGCGGGGATGTGGGGATGGTTGCAAAGACCATCAATATGCTCAAGGGCTAGATATTTGCGAACAAAAGATCTCTCATAAGTGCCCTTCTTTCCACCAACATGGCCGCCATATCTTTTTCATTTAACACTTTCAGCTATGATAGTTGCAAAAACCATATATACACTTAGGTTTAGATATTTTCTAATCTCCAACCGTTGTGATATCCTTAGACAAACTTACCTCAGTTGGCTGCTCTACACCATAACAACTGCATGTACATATCGCATCTGCTTCTCACCATGGGACATCAGTTCAAGTCTCAGCTACCCGAACCCTTGAACCAAGGTGCTGCTACATTCATGGACCTGGTGCCTACTATCAGAAGCCTTGGAGAAAACTGTCTTCTGGAACAGCTCGTAGGTTTTATTTGCATTCATTAAATGACATTATTACATTTCGTTTTCTGATTTGTCGGGGCGCGTGCATTTTTATGAAATTAAAAAGGGCGGTACGCTTTTTCAAGTTTTCTATTTCTTCACGTACGGAGGGACGGACGGACATTTCGTTTTCTGATTTATCGGGGCGCGTTCATTTTTATCAAAATAAAGAGGGCGGTTCACGTTTTCAAGCTTCCTATTTCTTCAAGGACTGACGGATGGATACACGGACGGACGGACGGATTTTTATTAAAACTTTTTTATTGATTATTGATTTCCTTCTATAGAGAAGGCAACGCTCTCAGCTGTTGAACATCATACGAGATGTTGGTGGATTAGCTGATGCTCACGAGGATGCTAGAGGAGAAAAAATAGAGAGAGCCATCAAACAGGTACTAATAACTTGTTATGAGTGCTTAACAAATAATGATCTGGTACCCATTTTGGAGGACATGAAGGGTTTAAAATAATAATCAAACTGACATGTTAGAGGACATGGATGGGTTGCAATAATTTTAACAGACTTGTGTTTTGGCGGCCATGGTGAATGATATTAATGGGCTTAAGCAAATAGCTTTATTTGTATAGCGACAATTCCAATGTTCAACACCGCTTTAAAAAGTATTTTAATATAAAAACTATGTACATAAACGCTGAAAAATATGTTACTTGTAAATAGAGTACAAACACTATAAGTGTGTAACATAAATACCACTTAATACTGCTAAACTAAGCTAATCCTATTGTTTTCTATTGTTTAATTAGCACTATTTACTACTAAATAGTGCAACGTGTTGCACACTTTTAGTGTTTGTACTCTAATATATTCTATATACAATGTAGTGTATATTATATAAATTCTATATACAATGTATAGGCAGTATAAACTCTAGGATAAAAATATTTACAAAATTAAATTATACCATTTTCGAATTCTGTTTTCCCAATAGGAACCGCGTGTTCACCACGGGTTTTGAGTGGTGTTTGTAACTGTTCTTATTTCTTGTCAGGTGTTACATCAACTTCTTCATCTCRAGAAGATGTGGCTTGGTATTTTACCATTAAATCTATTCCACCAGTCACTGGGTGCTTTGTTAGATGCAGTCCTGATAGATATCATTGACAAGGTCTTACAGCTCGAGGTACGCCTATTCTTTGCCAACCTCCCCCCGGTATTTTTGATCTTCAAGCTGCAAAACCAGAGCTTCTGGAGGTTGTTGAAATATCCTTGATTTTCGTGTGCATTTTTCGGCTTCCCATTTCAGACAACGTGTCATTCTCAGTAATATAATTTTTTTTGTTTAATGGTTGCACATGAGAAGACATAGATCTCCTAGGCTTGGGCGTAATGTTTTCCATATCAGACCACGTGTCATTCTCTTGAGAATGATTTTCTTTGTATTATTTGTATCCATAATTATCTGCCTTCTCATGCGTATCCGCTAAATAAAGTAATTATACAGTTTCTCATTAATCCCATATAGGTAACTGTCCAATTATTTTCTTAATTGAACAGGTCTTGTTGATATGGGATTAATTAGGCAGCTATATAATTAATAGGTAATGGATTTCATGCTCCCCAATCAAGAAATAATTAGACTCGGAAAATTCCTCTGACTGTCCTCGGAATTTCCCTCATCCAATTATTTCTTAATTGGACAGCATGGAGTCCTATTGCATATACAAATTATTCTCCAGGGATTGATGCTTTGTCTGAAATGGGAAAACATTAAACCCAATCCGAGGAGGTTTTAATGGATACAACTCAAACAAAAAATCTGATGCTCAAGATAATGAAACGTGGTCTGAAATGGTAAAACATACGTAAGCCGAATGGGTCTATCATATCTGCGACGCAAGCGTTTCAAATGTTGCTTTTGAATAGGCAGATTAAGATTCCCGTTTTTCCTTCCCGCAAACGGCAAACGTGACCAAGTTTTCATCGTTTCCCAACACTCCACTTTACCTATTGCAAACCTTCTCGACAAAGACAAGTATTCTTTGTTTATCTACTACTTGGAGATTTTTGCGATTCCTTTTCACCAATTTAAAAGAATTTTTTAATGGTCAACTGACGTTTCACGTTTGCCGTAAACGAGGATCTTAAACTCTCTAATGTCAGCGTTTTAACGAGCGTATTATTTTGTTTTTACGTAAAGCCTACTGTGCGTGTTAAAACGCAAACACAGTAGTGTGGAAGGGGTCGACCTTAGAAATCTTAACTTTCTTTCATTCCAGGATATATCCTCAGATGAAGCTACTCGTCTTCATTCTATACTGTCCATACTCATAAACCGAGGTCCTGAGTTATTCATGGAACCTACAAAAGACAAGGACCAATCACAGGTCGACCCTCTTATGGTGGTTCCTCATTGGTCCAAATATAAACAGGTGGTCGGTGCGCTGGAAGCCAGTCTCCAGGATTTAGCAGACGGATGGTCAGACGGGAAAGGGCCGTTGGCACTTGATCTTACAGCCAATGAAGTTCGAGGTCTGATAAGGGCGTTGTTCCAGAATACAGATCGAAGAGCTGCGGTGTTGGCGAAAATTAAAGCTGTGCAATAAATTATGAGTTATTTAATGAAGAACAGCTAAAATATGGATCGTGCCTAATAGAGGTTTTGCACCACCACGTGACGACAGCCATGTTAGATGGCAGGAACAATACAGTCGTTTTACATGAGAAAGAATTCAATATTCCCGACATCAAAGGGATTTTATTGTTCTGCCATCTAGTCACAGGAAGCCCAAGCAGTATTATGGGATGACCACGTGATGGTGCATAACCTCTGTAGACCAGTTCCAAACAACCGCTGTATTTCTTGATTACAGACCCATTTACGCAGAGTTAACCTCGCGTTCCATTCAAGTTCCGTCGAATTTCAAAGTGTTCGTATTGTTGAAGTTGTGCATTCTTTACTTTACCTTTGGTATTTGTGAATATTTAAACACTGATACAAGGCTAACCCTGTGTAAATGAGTCTGTAATCAAGAAACACAGCGGTAATTTGGAACTCGAAACTGGTCTGTTGTCTATTGTTCGAGCTTTTAAAAATTGTGTTGATCAGTTTGTAGAGGGTTTGATCAGATGTAAGTATTTAAATGTAAAATATTACGCAAGAATTAAAGAGAAGACATGAAAATGGATGCAACTAAAAAAATCTTATTCTCAAGGGAATGACACGTGGTCTGCATTAGACAGTTTTTACTTCGCGCAAAAATGCAATTTGTTGCACGCGGAATGGCAATACGAGCAAAATTTGCTCTGGCAACTTGCTACGTCAACGTTGCGCGCTTTTACCACACCTTTAAAGTAACCATTTTAGAAGATTCAAAATCTTTATTATTTATAAATATGGTTGATTAGATATGATATATAAATAGCTCAAAGTTAGAAAATGGAGAATCCCTTGGGGTTATTCTAAAGCTATGCATTCGATTGGACGATTTCCATTAAATCGTAAGGTGCTCTCAGTCATAAGTACTTGTGGTAAGAACTGGTAGAAAATACTTTCTTGCTTTTAATTTCGTCATCTGAAAAAGAAAATGGGGAAATTGTATATCGAGGGCAAATTGGGGTAGCACTGTATGAATAATTAGTCTAAACCTACTAATTCTGCTCTCTGATTGGCTGAGCTACTAGTGGTAGACCGAAAAGTGACGGTTTTAATAACCAAAACAGTAAAAAATAAATTATTGAACCTTATTCCAAAATGTTTTATCCCTTTATTTGACCAATTAGTAGGTTTAGACCAAGTCAACATTGACACCTCTCGCCCTCATGGTCTACGAGTCAATAGCCCATTTGGCCTCATGGGCTTTTGACTCTAATAGAGGTATTGCATCATCAAGTGGAGGCGCCCATAATCCAGCTTGGGCTGCCTGTGGTTATATGGCAGAACAATAAAATCCCTTGGCTCTCGGGAAATCTTTCTAATGTAAAACGATTGTATTGTTCTTGCCATCTTAACATCGTCACGTGAAGGTGCAAAACCGCTTGTTAAATTTTTAGAAAGAGAGGGTAAATGGATGGATGGATTGACGAGAGAAAGAGAGTAGAGAGGATGTATTACTTACGGGGAGCGATAGGGTCAAATGATGATGGCAGGCTACTAGTATACTGGACTATCTGTTGGGTGATGTGTGGATCACTAACACCGTACCTAAAGTAAAAGAAAACGTGGTGAAACATGAATGCACTTCAATTTCAAGTTTACGCAAAGCTGAGGGAATTCTTGGTTTTCATGTGACGTCATGGCAGGCGGTACCGTCACGGCAGGGAATACGGACGATATCCCTTGAACCAATCATTGCAAGGGATATTTCTGCTCATCCAATCAGGATGTTTGGACACGGCACTGCCAAGAAGAACGTCCGTACCGTGAAAATCTCAAATCATATAGAAACTCCTCTACAATAACTATTTGGAGGCGTTCAATCGAGCATAGTAGTTTATATTATTCTCACTGGGATCTCTACGCACGATGCCTCAAATATTACACGTTTTATATTCCCCGAGAGGAATGCATCCCAGGGGATTTCATCTCACACCCCCCACGTGTGTGGGGTAGTATAAATATCCTGCCGTGCCCCAACAAGGCCCCATTAAACAAAGTTCATAATTCGAGCTGGTGCCACTTCGTCGACCCACCCACCTCCCCACGGCGATGAACCCAAGAGCTCCCACTGCGAGCTATCCGCTCGCTACCGCCTCGTAGGTCATCTCCCCATAACTTAGCGACACTCCAGGCATTGTGTGTGGGAGTTCACAGTGGGAATATATTACTATTTACCAGAAGATTATCCACTCGCCATTTTGCCAGCTTCCACTCGACCTCACAAAATACCTGAATAACAATACGTACGTTTAGTTTAACATCGTGACTTTTCTAAGATTATTTCTTTTTCAAAAGCATTTGGAATACACACATTATGTAATGGAGATATGCCAAATTCTAGACGCGTCTTGCGCATGCGCAGAAAAATAGCAAGCGACAAGCATTAAATGCTTGTACACGATGAAATGCCCCCAAAAATATCTTTAAGGCTACGTACAAGTGGAATGGTATGGATCGCCTTGACTAGCGTTTACAAAAACGATTTTTCCCCGATGACGACGTCAAATTGTAAGATTCCGCGCGTGTTAATGAAAAACGATCGTAACGATCCTTTGGTTTGAAGGGGTTAACAGCTAAGAAAGATGAGTGAAAATTTCCGTGCTTCAAAAATACGAAAACAGTACCAAGGATTGATGCGATTGGTTGCTCTTGATCTCCAGCAAAGTCGAGGACAATCATTCTTGATTTGTTTCCATAAATTATCGCTAGTTCCCAGGCCTTGACTCTCTTTACTGATGGTGAATTTATCCAAGTACGGGATTCCACACGTTTCTGGAGGTGTCGTCAGTATTGCAGCAGCAGTATAGCTGAGACAAGAAGAAAGAAAGAAAAATAAAATAACAAGCTACACCATAGAGTGCAAACAATATAACCGTGAAACTTTAGTAATACTAAATAGTACAATTTCATGCAAATTCCATTGTTCTCTGTTGTTTAATTAGCACTTTTCTGTACTATTTAGTAATTAGTGTTTCACGGATTAATTGTTTGCACTCTACCTGACCTTTTTTTTAATAAAAAGGGAATTAAGGGTGGCATTGTTGTAGTGCACTCGGCATTCATCTCGGTTCGATTCCTGGACTTGTCCGGCATCACGTGTGGGTAGAGTGTTTTTCTTCAGCTGGTTACTCGGTTTTCATCCCTACGCATAACCTAACAAGCGTTCCAATTGGATCTGTAAGTTAGCATTGCCCTGACTTTGTTCGGCTGTTTCAAAGGATTGATAAAATTTGAAGGTTTTGCCATCTTTTCCTTTCATTTTAATTTCAATTGTTCTTAATAATTAAGAAATAATCATCCTTACCTTTCTGTGACATATAATGTATGCAGTCTTTCTTTTAGTGTTAAAAAATAATCCTTATTTAGTGTCTTGTCAAACGATCTAAAGCACCAAAAGAAATACAAATCGGTTGATGCAGTTTCTAGCTTGCCTCCGACGTTCTCAGGGTAGTTACGCAACGTTTCTCTCATAGAGAAACGTTGCATGACAACGTGACGACCCAGGGAACGTCTGCATAGCCACATGTTTGTGCAATACCTATGGTTGTTAAATAACACAGACGTTCTCAGGACGTTACGAAACGTTTCTCTCGTGGAGAAACGTTGCATGACAACGTGACGACCCTGAGAACGTCTGCATAGTCACATGTTTTTGCAATACCTATGGTGATTAAATAACACAGACGTTCTCAGAACGTTACGAAACGTTTCTCTCGAGGAGAAACGTTGCATGACAACGTGACGACCCTGAGAACGTCTGTATAGTCACGTTTGCGCAATACCTCTATTATTTTGGTTCAGTCATGGTTGTTAAAAAAACACAGACGTTCTCAGGGTTGTCACACAACGTTTCTATCATTAGGAAACGTTGTGTGAAGACGTGACAACCCTTAGAACTTCTGCGTAGGATGCCGGGGGGGGGGGGGGGGG